ACACACATATATATACATGAGGAAGATGAAATAATGATGTGCCTGTCTGAAACTTTACTAAGTTTTTATTGGCCCAAAGTCTTGGCTTGTGTAATTTTCTCTCCTTGCTGGTGACACGAAACACTGTATCAGACTCAGTCACAGAGACTTTGATGAGATGTTGACTGATTTATAGCATTATATCTGCATCATTTTTGATGCTTTTATTCATGTGTACCACCTGTCTATTTTTTTTCTCTATCCTTTCGGTTGTTTTGTCTGTTTGTTTGTTTGTTTGTTTGTTTGTTTGTTTGTTTTGAGTGTGTGACTATTTTTGGCAGGAATGTGAGCAGGGAGACAGAGAGCACATTTAAAAAAAAATTTTAGTATGTAATGTGTGTCTTTTTTGTGTCTTTTTAGTGACGTTTGGTTTTAAATCAGTAAAATGTCCTCTGGCGTTTTTAACGTGTTGCATTCAGATCAGGAGTGCTGATTCAGCGAACGGATTCTTCATGTCAATTTTTGGTTATAAGTATTTTTTTAAAGGTTACTCAGGATTCATGCAAAGCTGAATAATTATTTTGCAAGAATTTATGTCAGTAATATAAAAAAAACATTTTAAACTAAGGAGATTAATAATCGGGGTGATCGAAGTAGTTTGTAATCTCTTATTTAACAACTTGACTGCTAACAAATTGAACCGGTTCAGGCCCTCTTTGTTAGAGGAACACAGTTTTAGCTGTCTTTTGGTAATTCTTACATCGTTTGAAAATTTACATCCTCACTGGAGAGAAGCTATTCATTGCTGTCAACAAACTGCAAATGTCTTTTTATTTTATTTTATTTTATTTTTTTGCAGCAACACAATCAAGTTTAAAAAATATATGTGGTTTATTTCTTAAATACAGAATCTAATTGCTTGATTTGTTTGTTAGCAGACAAATTTTAGACAAACTAAATGCACATCTGATTTATGTTTTCCTCTTTTTTTAAGAGATTTTTTTTATTCTTTTCAAACCCACAGCCCGGCCAGTGTGTAAAGAAGGTATGCAGGGTTTCATGTCACTTTGGTTTTGTTTATATATACTTATATATATTTTATCACAAAGCAAGTTATAATGTAATAGTCCTCTAATTTTGTCTGTTCAAACTCTTGGCATTCCAATAGAATAAGACATTTTATCAAAGGGAAGACGGGATTGTCACCTAGTTCTTTTACCACCTTATAATAATCTCTGCTGAAGATGTTAAGCAAGCAGTGTAAGTTGAGTGATATTATATTTAAGACAAAAAATAGATACAGATGTGCACATTTTTAATACCAAACAAGTGTTTAGCCACTGTACAAAAGACGTATGTGCATATAAATATATATTTTTTGAAATAATCAAAAGGATGCATCTATTTTCTACTCACAGCCGACATATTGTACATCCTGTAATCACCTTTGTGTTTCCAGAGTGTTTACCTCTTTCCAGATGTGAAGCTGTTGAAAGGAAAGGGGTTTGAGTTTTATTTTTCCACTTTTCTTTCCCAGCCCCTCTCCTGTTCTGCATCATAACCACTTCTGTCTCCTTCATCAATCCTTATCACTGTCGTATCATTTGACCCGACCGGTGCCAAACGGTGCCCGCCCACTATAGTTTGTGGGCCGTGATGCGCTGATTGACAGCTTTTCTCCTGGCTCAAGCACTGTTTGTGTAAGAGCAACTCACAGAGTCAAATGTTCTCCACAAGGATCAAAGCGGTAGTGACGGTGGCCAGGATCAGGGTTGGACTCGGATCAGAGCCGTACTCGTACACATTCTGACAAGTCTCGTCAGTTTTCTCACATGGACCCACGCTGGATCATAAAGCCCTGGTAGCTCCTGACCTGACATGTTCCAGCTCATTAAGTTGTAAATGTTCGTTGGCTTCTCACTGTGCCGTCTTTCAAACCACAGTGTCCTCTGATGATTGTGCCATAAATACATCTATGAACAGTTGTTACCRTTATGTAGCATCAATATACGTGCGTTTGTCTAATGTAACCATTCACCCTTATCTACACTGTGGGGGACAACAGAGTTTTGTTGTTATTTATAGATGTCATAAAACACCATCCCTAAAAGTAATCAGCAGTTCTCACTGATTTTCTTTTACTTTATCGGTGTTTGTTTGTCTGTGTGAATTCACATTATACACTGTTTTATTTTTGTTTGTTTTTTTGTTTTGTCCATGACACCACCAATAACAAAAAAAAAAAAGACCTTAAAGAATGTCCTGATGCATCTCGGTAATCCAGGTAGAAAAAATCAAAAAGAAAAAATAAGTAGGTCCTCTGGATGGGTTCTTTAGTGAAGCGTTTCATCTCTCCTCCAAGAGACTTCTTCAGTCTGAGAGTTTCAGGTGATCTCAGCCTTATAAGCACTGCCTCCACATGGACAAACAGGTTAGTCACATGCAAAAGAGGGCCATCGCCTAACCATAGGCTTGATTAGCTCTATTTAGTCACATGCAAAAGAGGGCCATCGCCTAATAATAGGCTTGATTAGCTCTATTTAGTCACATGCAAAAGAGGACCATCGCCCAACAATAGGCTTGATTAACGCTATTGTTCATAGAGAGGGCATAGGAACCTTAAAGGGGCAATATTATGTGCTTTCCACGCCTTTATTTCAATTTTATACTAAAATAAAGTAACTGTCACATTTTCAGCTTATGAAAGAGCTATATATTTGTAAAAATCCCCAAAACAAATTACTTCTCATCTTGACAGTTTCTAAACGTCTTGAAATAGGTCTCTGTTTCTTTAAGAAAATCCAACCATTTCGGTCACACCCATTTCAGCACGTAGCCTGCCGGAGTCACATAGCGGGTGGGGGGCGTTTCACCATGAGGAAGTTCGGCTTAAAGACGCATCCCAGAGGAGGAGCTTGTCCCAAAAGGACACAACCCAGAGGTGTTTCTGGTCCCCACCTGTCGTTTTGCTCCTCAGCATGGCTCCCTAAAAACGCTGCAGGATTTCTCAAATATGCATGAATGAGTCAGAGCAAGGCTTTGGGCATGTTTTTTATGAGAGTATAACATTATAGCATGATATAAAACTCAAAAAAGTTGATTTTACATGATATTACCCCTTTAAAGAATTTAATGAAGCCATTGTACACCCATAAATGTTTTCACATTTTCCCCCTTTCAGGAGCTTGTGCAAAGTTTGACAGCGTTTGTTGCACTTGCTAAGGGCTCATGGAACTTCCCAAAACATTTACATTCAGACTCTGTCTGATATGGGGAGTAACAAGCTTTATTTTTGCTTTGAGTAAAGCAAAACAAGGCCTTCTTAGCGGTCTGAAAAAAGGGAGAAAACACTTTTCGAAAAAAAATTTAAGAATAGGATTTTCCCTCAAAGGCTGTTGATCTCAGCTAAGGTGCTATTTCCGCAATTTCTTTTAGATTTATTTKAACTCTAACATCTTTGTCCAACACTAATGTGTACCTTTGAGCCAGCACAACTGAATAATRATACGAAAAAACAAAAAAGAAATCATGGACATCAGGTAGGGAAGCATTTAGTTTCCAGAACGGACAACTGTTTTGACYAAGAACTGGTGATACAACGCTTATCAGTTTGAATTGTTTCCCTTGTCCCATAGGACTTGGTCCCTGAGCTCTTGGTGCCAAGGCAGAGCAAGAGTAAAATTAGACAGGACAGTCTTAAGATAATAGTTTTAGTAACAAGAAGCAGTGGAAGTGGGTCTCCACTTTTTAAAGGCAAGCGTATGTATTACAAGTTTTGGGTTTATTTGTTTTAACATTAACCTAACCATAGAAGGTTAGATTAATGTTGAAATGTTAGAAATGTTAGGTTAAAATGTTAGGTTAATGTAGGTAGAGACCCCTACAGTGACATGAATATGTTTCAATTTCTTTTTATTTTTTTATTTTTGTATATTCAAAGTTTACACCAACATTTGTGTTTCATCACAGTAGGTCAGTTATTTGCTTTACATCTCAACACATTCAAAACTTCAAAACCTCTCTATCAACTGTAAACAATAGGTACAAAAACACATCATGAAACTTCATTTAGGTTCAAATTGGAACAAGTAATGATGGCTTTTTCTTTTTTACATGTACTGAGCCTGAGAAATCGGGGAAGACAGTTCCTTTGAAAGGTTTCTGCTAGTGCTGCATCAGAACATCCGGAACTAGAATGTGAATTAATTAAATACAATATGATATAAACTCTAGTTTTACACACATTTAAGAGGTAGACATTTTGCAATGTTGCTACTTCTAAACAAGGACAAGTTCTCAGTATCTTAACACTTCATTAAAACACAGACAAATAAAAACTTTACAGAACCAGACTTGCAGAAAAAAAATACAACAATGTCAACAGTTACTGCTACACATATATGTAAATTGTCATTATTGATAAGCACCATTAAGCAGTAACCAGTGTTGAAAAGTCGGTTTTAAGAAAACCATCTGGGTTGCATTTGCTTTCTAAGAGAAAGAGTTTCTGAACAGTGCCATCCCTGGAGAAGGGGTCAGAGTCAGTCCAGATGATGTAAATCTTGGCCCGTCTCCAGCTCCGACACACAGTGTTCGGTTTCTTGGAAAGTCTATTAGTCCCGTTTGGTCCAACACACACTGCATGAAGACCTAGTGTCATTTATCTCTCCAAAGCTGTCCGACTACAGCGGGGCTATGAACCATCATAAGTGTACACAGTATAAATCATTGACCTAAGTCATCGCCATTGCACCAGCATTTGCAAATATTTCATTTTCTGGGTGCAGGAGCTCAGGGAATTAAATCAATAGCCCACTCGAGTTCCCAGGATGTCCTTTCACCATTTGCTGCCTCTGTTTAAAAGTACTGTGCAAACATGCAAATTGCTCACTAAAAAGAAATCAATTGGGGTTGAATAAATTGTTTGTAGAGGGGCATCAGTCACCCAAAATTCTATGAAAGGACTATTGCACAAGCCGTTCTAACAACCAGAGTTCTTGTGATACGGAGTGTCTCCAGCACAGGACAGCGTCTACTGCCTGCGGACGGCACAAATGGAGTAAGGTTTGGGCTGTAAGGTCATTCCTAGTTTAGGAGTGACCGTCGGCACGGTTCCCGAGGGGAAGTGAAGATGAAATCTCTGCATCAAAGTGGTGAAAAAGAGGAACATCTCCATTCGGGCCAGCTGTTCACCCACACAGTGTCGCTTCCCTGCAAATAGAAAAAGGGAAAGGTTTTCTTTTACTCTCAGTTTCACACGGTTGTAGCACTTAATCTGTTCAAATCTTTGGCAAAAATAAATACTTGAAAATTAAAGCCACTGGTCATCTCAACAACCCAAAAATAACTGGTATATAGATATTYTCGGAACATCATTGTTTTCTATTAATATCTTATTGGCAAATGACAAAAACTCAGTGGAAATAAGGACCTCACATTTACCAGCACACAATAATTTAAATAAACTGAGTTCAACTAATTATTATATAAATATAAAGATAGATGGTTTTACTTTAATGGCATGGTCGTGTCAGATGTCTGGCCCACAAAAGCCTATTCACAGCACAAACAAAATTGCATAGTTTTTTTATTTGTTTGTTTCTTCTGATAATTATAGTTGAACTATTCTATTGGCAATTAACTTTAAATTTAATTTGATTTAGATCAGCTCAAGACCCACAATGTAGGGTTTCACAGCCCACAGAGGAGTCCCAGCTTTAACTTTGGGAAATACCTTTCTACACTACAATCTGTGTCCTCATTTACCCATTCACACAGCACTCTATTAGGTCTCTACAAAGCTAACGTACAATCATCTAAGGAGAATAATCAGTGCCAATCACATTCATACACTTCCAACAGTTATTTCATGCAAAATAATAAAATAATAACAGTTAGACAAACATTAACACCAACCTAAGGAAAACGGAAGGAAGGCTTCACGCCTCACAAAGTTGCCACTGCTGTCAAGAAATCTCTCTGGTGAGAAGACGCCCGGATCGGTCCAGTACTTCTCATCAAAGTGCACCGAGTAGAGGTTTGTGATCACCATGGTGCCTTTGGGAATCGTGTACCCGCTGACTGTTGCATCCTGGGAGGTGGCACGGAAAATACCAAGAGGCACGATGTTGCAGAAGCGAAGAATCTCGTGCAGAACTGCTTCCACGTAGGGCATTCTGTGCTTGTCCTCCATCGAAGGCGGCCTTCCGTTGGACAGAACGCTGTCAATTTCCTTGTGCACCCTCTCTTTGAAAAGAAAAGCAAATATTCACAATTTMAACAAACTGACAAATTGTATTTCAGGATCAAATGAAAGTGTTCAACTTCTCTTTACCTTGTATGTTAGGGTACATGGCCATGTACAGCACAGCCCAGCGCAGGGTGTTGGTTGTAGTTTCTGTGCCAGCAATTATGAGCTCACCCACTGAATAGATGAGGTTCTCAAAAGAAAATGAGGAATTAGGATTTCCTCTATTTTGCTCCAACTCATCCAAATAGGCGTCAACGTAGTGGCGTGGTACACGTGGCACCCTGTCCTGGGAATATGTGTTTATCACCTTCCATAGAAAGTCATACACCTCTGCAGCATTGCGGAACAGCTTCTGGTGTTTCCCAAATGGCAAGTATTCAATCCAAGGGAAGGCATTGTACAGGAGYGCCCAGCCACTGACGGCTAACTCCACGTTCTCACTGAATAACTCAATCATGTGCTGAAAGTTGCAGTCGTCGTAGGCAAAACGGTGCCCGAATATGACCAGATTGGTAATATTGGACACAGCATTGGTCACAAGGTGTTTGGGGTTGAATGCTTTGCCCTTGTGTTTGTCAATGGCGTCGACAAAGAACATACACTCCTCCGTGATCCTTTTTTCAAACAGTTTCTGGCTACTGCCGTAGTAGCGGAAAGAGTTGCAAGCCAGTTTGCGYTGTTCAAACCAACCTTTCCCATATTTACAATTGAGAAGCCCTTTGTTCAGGAAAAAAAAAAAGAGAATAAATCAGATTACTCAAAATCCAGCACTGTCTCACGATTTATTTTCTGAACGTAACCATTGAACAGCATCTTACCACCCATTTTGGTCATTTTCTTGAACAAAGGCAGTGATGGTCGGTCAGCAAACTTGTCGCTCTGATGGTAAAGACATTCTTTGACGCAGTCGTAGCCGTTTAGAACCACAGTCATGATGCCTCCAAGGTCAAGACTGAAAATCTGCAAGATAGACAACATCGGATCATCAGTTACCTGCACTGCTGCACACATACTATTCAAGAT